GACAGCGACAGATTGAGGAAATTGGCAAAAAGAGTAAATCAAATCTCTCACTTAAGTTCTGGGTCAGTCAAATCAAGAGGTCACAACATCGGATCACCAGGAAGTCGTTCCACGAGGTGATTCCGATAACATTCGATCGATACAGAAAGCCCAAGAGAAGGAACGAGTTGACCAGCTGATCTCAATCGTAGAGGTTGATTTTAAATTTAGTGATACGAGAATAGACGAGAATGCTGATGATCGGTAATCAGCATATGCTTACACCACGGGTAGGCCGCCCAATTATGCGGCCTGCAGACCGCCCACGCTTGCAGGCGGATGGGCGGTCTGCAGGTAGGCCCCACGCGGACGGCCCCCAGGTCGAAATGCCAAGCAGTCCTCAGGCCGCCACGCCTGGGTCGAGACTCAACGGCAGGCCGTCTAACCCCCGCCTGACTAGTAATATGGGTGCGCAAGCGATGACCCGCCGCGGTACTCCCCGAGTAGAGATCCTTCACGGTCCATTGCAATAACCGCAAGACCCGAGTCGCGGGCCCGTAGACGAGGGCCAGGTAACCGGGTCACCAGGTCCAGCGCTGGCCGGACCGCGACATTAGTTGGTCAAATACTCGCGGTACTCGACAGGTGTATCAGGAAGAATGGATAATAACATTTCATGGGTGCATTACTTGAGACGAGGGAAGGAACATATTGACACGATAACAACATGTATTTAGTTTTATTGATTAGTGTAATACGCCGTAGAACAGCGCCACAGGCGCCTTCCGGTTCAAATCGAGTCTTCATGTTCGGAGCCCACATCTTCGCCATCTCCCTTGCCTCCTAGAGGTGGGACCGCTTCCTCAACTACCCCAGAGGTTCCCGCAACAATCGCATCCTCCGTGGGTAATGCAAGCACATAGTTCTCCTTGATCTCACTCCAACTCCTCTTGCCGTTGAATATCTCGTTGTCATTCTGATAGATGATATCGTAGAAGCTAAGGACAAAACGTGAGTCATCAGAGCAACGAATGCATGACCAAGGAGAGGAGACCGTTACATACGAAGTTGTATAATCTGGTAGATCCTTTTCTTTATCTCGGAGAAGGTCAAGCTGCTTGTCCACCGCAGACCATATGTTGGTTGCAGAAGGGGTTTGTCGAAGACGGGTGGCTTCGCGACGCTGTGCGACCATATCAGAAACGTTAGTTGACGTGATCGTCACTCAGGCTCCCTCGTACTGCACATAACTCACTAGGTATGCAATCCTGCTTCGAGTGACCTCGTCCGCCGCGCGCCAAGCTGTTATGGCATCTACATCTCCCCCAATTAGTCCACATTTCAACGCAATCTACATAATGTTGCACATCAGCAGCCATATGGTGTGAGAGCCTCAAATAGGGAGCTTACTCGATGCCACAATGCGATCAGTGTGGGCACGGCAACACCCTTCACCGCCCCATGCTTTTGGTTGTGCACGTTGGTTAATAACTGAACATTCAGGAAAGTCAGCATTTCATGTAATTCCATTGTCAGCTGGGCTGGGCTTACCAATAAGTGTAATTTTTCGCGCGCGTGTTTACCCGAGTCCCTGATAGCAGTCGCGTACTTGCGGAGCCCTTCGCCATCGTTAACTCCTCGAATTTGTTTGGGAAGGTGTAAAGCAATCCATTCTGCGTCTTGTTTTGCGACACGGAGCTATTGGGTGCAATGACGTCAGTGGCAACAGTATGTGACAATGTAGGGGCTCACTCCAAGACGGACCCTAACACGATTGAAGAGAGATCTCGGGAGATAGTTCTTAGCTCGATCCTCGATTTCGGTGTAAGACTGCAGATCAGCTTCGGGGATCAATTGGACTGACAATTCGTTCAGCAAGGCCTGCACAGGGATCGGAGGTCAGTGCTTGGAATACCGAGAGGCAGAGGTGCACTGACTTTCAACTGGCGCGATGCCTTCCACTCGGAAACTGTCGCCGTGCGAGCCGCTTTGGCAGAGGCTGCTGATGCCAATGTCGATGTCGACGTCGATGTCGATGTCGATGTCGAAGTTGAAGTCGCCGTGGGTGCTGGTTTGAGACCGCCAGACTGGACCGCCTCACTGAGATCGTCGACGTTGGCTGAGATGACGTTCATCTTGTCAGTGAGATCCTGGTGAAGGATTCCAAACTGTTCGGCCACCTGTTCCGCGAGGGTGGAAACCTGTTGAGAGATTCTACAGAGGTAGAATTGTGTCCTTGCAATATTCCCACAAAGCGCCAAATGGCGATAGTTATCGCCATTAACCTGACAATGGTTCGCAAATACGTCAATGAACTGGTTCATATGATCTTCATCATGTACTGACCTCGCCAAGTTCTCGAGCATAGTCACTATGCTTCGCGTCCAAGTCAGCAGAAGACGTCATTCGGTCAATGAAGTTGCGTTCCTCGTCCGCGAGAGCACGGAAGTTGGCGACAGGTTCGCCAGTCGTGGGTTGGAAGTGACTCAACGGGTCGTCGCTTTGGGTGGGGTTATTCGAGGTTGATTGGAGAAGGGGCTGTTCAAACTCGGTAGGTGATTGAGTACAAAGGCGTTTCTGGTTTTCGGGGGCCGGGGTGGCAGTTGCATCGCGAGGGGTTTTGGCCAGACTAGTGGTCAAAGCTTTCACCTTGGGACGTCGACGCGATTCCAGTCCGGGGACCGACTCGCCGCTGTTACTACGTAAAATTGAGCGGTCCAAACGTTGAGACGTTGGGGCAAGGACCTCTCCAAGCTCTGGATACTGATGTTAGTGTATCCTGAGGGGTCCAAGAAGGCTGAAGGAGATTTGACACACTTTTGGGTGTGATCAAACTCTCGTGATTGTTGAGGCCGCGCAAAGTTGAGGCACTCGAACCGCCTCGAGAACTGCCAGAGCTCTGGCTGGTATTGGCGGGGGGGTTGAGGAGGTCACCTAGAATGCACGCGCGTTAGAATGCATGGATTTGAAGTTGAGAGAGGCCTCACCGAATGTGCAATGTGCCATTTTTCGCCTAATACGGGCTGAGGAGTGGATGCTCTTTGCATGAGTGACCCCAACGAGTCGAGATTTCGGCCAAAGTTAGCATTGGTGTGACCTATTCCACTATGAGACGAGATTAGGGCCATGTGAATTTCGTCCTCAAAGGGCCTTTCGACCTTGACTGCGATTCCTCATTGGAACCTGTGATCACCACTGCAAACAGGAGTTCGACACTGACCTCCACGATAATCTAAAATGTCACAAAGTCCACCCGCCGCCCAAAGGTCAGTAATCAAGTTGCCTATCATGATGGGCAAGATGGAACATTCACCGTTTTAATTGACTTCCCTTCTGTTGATCGGGTGTCTCACCATTTTCGTTTGGATGTTATCAGCACCGCGCCAAGTGAAGGTCTGCGAGATGAAGGGGCCATAGACTTATCGAACGCCTCAATGGCTGTGTCCGCTAACAAGTTCATCGTCATTCCCGATTCCCAGGAGAGTCCAATCAATCTCCTTTCTCCTACCGTATTTCATCCAGATCACACGGAAGATCATACGGGGGCAAACCAGCCCAACCATGACACTGAGGAAGGTCTGTCACTGTTTCTCAATCGATCCTAGTAGCCATAAGTCCCAGTTGCTGAACCGATATCTATGTTCCTGATTTGTTAGCCGAAGCAGAGCCTGACCGATTTCGGCGTCGTAATCTGTCATACGCGGCCGTGCGACGTTTCATTGGGTTAAAGCCTCTTCGAGATTACATGGTTTTTGCTGGATTGGCACCTTCGGAGACGAGCAAAGCCCTGCGAATTCTCTCTGGCCACGCGATTCATAGCTTCCACGTTTTCCTTTTCCCCGAGCTCATATCACCGAAACAAATGTATCAATGGGGTATCCCATACGGGGTAGGGGCGGAACTGATCTTACACGCGGAAGGTTACTACCACAAGCTTTTGCGCAGAGAAAGGAGAAACAGATCTGCTGAATTATAAATGTCAGGTCCACATTCCAGGTGCCCGGCGGACATGGCTCATTTGCAAAGATATTCATTTGGTTCAATTGACCTTCTTTCGTGACGCTCGGCTCAGCCATACTCCCTGCTGAACAAAAGCCCGTTGAGACACGTAAAAACGCAAGAGATGGCCAAAATGGGTCACATTGGCCAAATCGTTCCCGCTCAGACAGGAATGGTATTGAGGTGTGCATGGGAGGCCATGAACACCTCGAACTCTCTTTCGTCATTCATGTACAGTAATTCATTACACCCGCGAAAGGACAAGAGCAAAGAACTGGGAGTGAGGTAATTCATAAGACAGTCACGTTTAAAATTACAAGTCTGCCGCGGTGATTCAGGCATTCAGATCGTGGAAAATAATAAAACCTGATCCGGCGTTGATGGACAGTTAGTTAAAGCTATCCTGCCCCCTTGTGCTTGAAATGAAGTCAAATTGAGTACATGCGATGTTATCACCCCCAAAATAAATTGTTCAAAGGCCTGGGTGGCCAGATGTTGGAATAAATGGGTAAGTCTTTCAGGGCGGCCAAAGATGTGATACGTTCCATGGGATCCTTCTTCAAAAGAAGCGTGATCATTTCGCGCATAGGTTCGGACATCGTACGAGGGAATATGACTTCCGCGTGCGCCACATGGCTTCCTAAATAGGTGATTTTCAAGGAGGAGTACATTAGCGAAGCTCTCTGTAAGTTTGTCCTTTTCGTAAGGTTATAAAGGAGAAACTTACGATCTTGGAAAGGCTGGCGATATGTACACAAGTAATACATCATGAAGCCGAGATTCCACCAGTCCACAGATGTGCCGTATTGACCTCCTGCTAGCATTTCCGGAGCTCGAGCGTTGGATAAGCCGTGATCCCCAGAGGTGAAGCCATCCGGGTCAAGGAGGTCCCAAGAATCCAGGCATACCAGCTTGATGTGATAACCGGGATAGCACTTGACGCTACTTGGATCCATCGCTCGAAGCACCGCGCCGTTGGTATGGAAGTGGTTCAACACTTCCGCGAGTTGCATGACATAGTGTGACACCTCGGCTTCTGAGAGATTCCTTTCCCCGACAAGGTGTTCGAGATCCGGGGCATCCTGATCGTAGGCAAAGACGAGGTTGATTCGCCAGTCTTCCAGGAAATGGCCAAGGTAACTGGGTATGCCAGGGTGTTCGAACTCTGAGAAAAAGGCGATTTGGTGAACCTTTGATGGGGCAAAGGGTGGCCGCAATTCATTGTCATTTGGCGGTTCGTAGCCCTTGATAGCCACAACTAGGCCATCGGCGGTTCTTCTGGCTGTCTGCGTTCTCTGTTGATAACCCCACTTGATGTTAAGGTCTCGTTTGAAGTCGGTGTCTAACAAGGTGTCCGGTGGAAACAATGCTCGCATTGACGCCCAGGTGACCCAGTCCTCCTGCTCTTTGGGCATTACAAAGGAGTCGTCGGTATCGGAAACAGAGGTGGAATCCGAAGAGACTCTTTTGGCGCCTGGCTCGCTAAGTTCGTCATCATCGGAGGGGGATGAGGAACGCTTCATAATTGCGTATGTGAGCTTGGCCGCGTCTGAAGGGCAACGGCGGTTGTTTCGATAAGAGCTTTTCTGTGTGGAATATGCGAGCAGACGTCGATCCCTCTGGCGACACCTTTTCCAACTGCGTGTTTGCCCGTTCCTGCACATGTATTTAGAGTTCATACACCTGGATATATCGCCTGCAATCCAGGGAATAGCCGCGCGTCCAGCTTTGGTGATATGACATATATCATATCTTCCAAAAGATATGATTTATATCTCAACACCAAAGCTGGACGACGGGCTATGGTCCTCTTGAGCACCATAGCCCGAAAGTCGCATCAAACTTTCGCGACGCATGACTTGCGTCGCATTAGTTTAATGCGAAGCATGAAGGGCAGGACAATGATTCGATTCATAGTCCTGAACTTTTGGTCCATATGTTCAGGACAGTGAAAAATTAGGCTCATAGTGAATGAGCGCATTTAATCTGCATTAGATGCTGGCCGATTTGGAGCAGGGTGGCCATACATGCCCTCGCATGCGCGGCATATGGCCTTTTGGTTCGCAAAGCCCTTCTGTGGGAGTTTCGAGGTATATGGCCCCATGGACGGCACCGTTAGTGCTTCCCAAAGTTTCACAAGTCGTGGACATGAATTTGTTTGTCATGGTCCATACAATATTGTAGAGTACAATGTTGTAATGAATTTGTAACATTACATCATAAAATTTTCACACGTCGTGAGTCAAAAACATTCAAATACGCCCAACCTATTACCCGGGTCACCTCAGGCCAAGTTACTTCCATGCCATGATCACCGCCAAACAAAGATCAGGAGGCCTGATGATACGGTTAGGTTGGAGAATCGGCACCTGGTGACTGTTTCCTTTTCTTTCGAACCGGACGGGGAGTGGCTTTCCACTTCGCCAGGCCGGTTGCAATCGATTGGTTCCATTGCGCAGGCGAGATGGCATTAACTTGCAGGTCCCCTAATTTTTGATGTAGTTCGGCAGAGTAATGTGACGCTGAATTAAGGATGTAAGATTGATGCGCCTCGTGTTTCATTGTGGGCACCGAAATCCGGGTTGCTCGCCTTTCAATCTTTTTCGAGAGGGTCGAGGTAACAGTGCAATGACAATCATGGCAGTTGTGCTGCATGTTAATGAGGGAAACGACGTTCTTCGGAACAAAGATGTCAATTCGAGGGTCAAAGAGCTGTGCTAGAAGGAGGTGATGGGCTACCACTTACCTTGATGTCACACGGGAACGTGACCTCCGAAACGATAAACTCTCGCATTCCGTAAAACGGGACAATGCGGCCCTTGTTGCATTTGGCAAGAATGAGAATCACCTTGGAGGATGATTCCCCCGCGGGTTTCCACAACGAAACGACCTGCCCTATGAGGCCTTCGCCTTTCACCTAGAATAAACACACGAACGTTAAAGCATTATCAGAGAGAATCCACACTGCGAGGTTGACGTACGGCGACGAAGTCCTGGGGCTCAATCTTTTGGCGAGAGGGCAAAGTGACACTATGGAGTTGTTCCAAATCTGCATCCGATGCCAAACGTTCCAGACACGCCGGAACCGCGCCCTGGTCTTGCTTCGGCCCTGTTAGGCCAAACATGCACGATCAGATCGTATGTTGACAAGATTGAGCCAAGAACTTGAACACTTGCCACTGTCTGTGTGTAAACCCACGTTGCCCACGGTGATGTCGAGGCCAGAGGCCTGAGCCAACTCGGGGATCCTCGTCATCAGGGATTGTATTTCACGTCCAGGCGCAACGCGCGCCTGCAAGTCCTTGTCGAAGAAAGAAGCCCCCGAAAGAAAGATCCGCAACATCAGGGCAGTGAGGAAGGTATTGGCAATATCGTTACCTGGGCTTTGTTTGTTTGAATGGACCGAGGCGTCTCGAGTCTTCCCGTTGAATGATTCGAACTTCTCCGTGGCTACAAGGCAGGGTGGTCCAAATCGGCGGATTGAGGCTTTGAGGTGTCCCAACATATGAAACTTTGGCTTGTTCACCCATTGGGCCGTCATCGACACAAGCTGATTCATGAATATATCTACGTGGGTATTGAGTTCCTTCAGGTAGACGTCGACATTATTTATTTCGGTTTGAAATACATAAGATCCTAACATGCAAAGCGCTGTCCATAGATGTCGTACTTCTTCGGTGACCAGATCGTATATAACAAACGGCACCGTCTGCAACACGGTGCGGAATTCTTTGCCTACCAGGCTTTGGAAGAACTGGATCACAGTATTCGGCAGGATAGGAGGCCCGTTCAAACCTT